TCCTCCTTGACCCCTCTTAGAAAACAGAGTTTACGGTGAAGAATGCTCAGGTCCGAGGAGGGTATGTGCTACACATCGGAACGATCTACGGTGACCTGAAAGTGGGAGATCAGGTCCGGTTGTTTATTGATGAGGTGAGTTGGGTTACTGTGGCCCCCATTGGATTTGATTAGTAATCACCTTCTCCTCTGGCTTTAAATTGTCCTGTCACTGTTATCACTCCCTAGTGATATTGTAAGTAGACCGCAGGGGTTAATTTCAGTGCATTTGGTGGATTGTGAGGGATGCAACTAAGAGTTATCTGTATGTTCCCAAGTCAGTGATTTCACCAGTGATTTCAGTTAAGATCCTGTGGACTTGCTTTCATGGATTGCTTTTCTAATCTTACCTACTTTCTTCAGGAGCCAAGGATGCTGAAGAATGAAGAGGTAGGCTCTGTGGCATGTGACAGAGCTCCAGAGTAAGAGTAGCTTAAAACAGAATAGCAGTGTATGTTCTGAAAAGCTCAAGCTGATACGGAGGCTCTGCCCCACAGAGTCAGAGGGCCTGGCTTCTCCTCACCTGTCACTCCAACTTCTTTCCTGGGGTGTTGCCTTTGATTTCCTGGTTCAGAGGATAGCTATCAGATCCACTGTCTAAGCCAGGGGTTGGCAAACTTTGTGTAAATAACTGGATACTAAATATTTTTGGCTGTGTGGACCACATGCTCTTGGTCATGGCTACTCAGCTCTGTGGTTGGAGTGTACAAGTAGCCATTGACCATACGTAAACGAACAGGTGTGTTTGCTGTAAACTTGTTTATGGCCGGGTGCAGTGGCTCATGCCTGTAATCCCAGCACTTTGGGAGGCCAAGGCGAGCGGATCACCTGAGGTCTGGAGTTCGAGACCAGCCTGACCAACATGGAGAAACTCTGTCTCTACTAAAAATATAAAAGTAGCCGGGTGTGGTGGCGCATGCCTGTAATCCCTGCTACTCGGGAGGCTGAGGCAGGAGAATCACTTGAACCCAGCACGTGGAGGTTGTAGTGAGCCGAGATCGCGCCATAGCACTCCAGACTGGGCAACAAGAGCAAAACTCCATATTTTTTTTAAAAAAAAAAACTTTATAAAAATTTATAAACACACATATTTGGGGAGGCTGAGGCGGGAGGATTGCTTGAGGCCAAGAGTTTGAGACCAGCCTGGGCAACAACATGAGACCCCATCTCTACAAAAAATAAAAAATATTAGTTGGGGGTGGTGGTGGGTACCTGTAGTCCCAGCTACTTGGGAGGCTGAGGCAAGAGGATCGCTTGAGCCCAGGAGTTTGAGGTGGCACTGAGCTATGATTGCGCTGCTGCACTCCATCCTAGGTAACAGAGAAGACTGTCTCTAAAAATGAAAAGACAGATGACAGGCTAGATTTAGCCATAGGCCATCGTTTGACAATTCCTGTTCTAGGTGGTGGAAAAGAAATGGGACGACCTGTCCCATCTCTTTAATGGTAGATGGCACTTCTGCTCAAAACCTGTTGACCAAAAGTTAGTCACATGGCCACACTTAGCCGCAGGGAAGCTGGGAAGTGTAACCTTTATTCCGCACAGTCATATTTCCAACTAAAAATTGTAGCACTTGGGGGTGCAGGTACCGGGAGATAACTAGCAGTCTATTACAGACCTCTCCATGAGCCCTTCTGCCCTTTCCAGCCCCGACGAAGACCCATCATGAGCAACCATACAGCTACGCACATTCTGAACTTTGCCCTGCGCTCAGTGCTTGGGGAAGCTGACCAGAAAGGCTCACTGGTTGCTCCTGACCGCCTTAGATTTGACTTCACTGCCAAGGGAGCCATGTCCACCCAACAGATCAAGAAGGCTGAAGAGATTGCTAATGAGATGATTGAGGCAGCCAAGGTAGGATGGGCGACGGCCAAACGCCTCCCCTCCCCGCACCATCACTGTCTGTCCACAGTCTCAGCAGTGCGGTGCTCTCCGTTTTTACCAGATTCATCCTGCATGTAGATTTGCTTAAAGCAGTGATTCTTCACCTGTGCTTTTGTAGGGGGCAGTGCGGGGTAGTGGTGGTTGTTGCTGAAGGGGAGAGGGAGAGGCCTTTGTCCCACCCCCACGTTAGGAGAACCAGAGCTGTTCTAGTTAAGTCTGTTCACATATAAGATTTGGTCCACAGTTAAACAAAATAGTTGGAAATTCCCATATTGATGCCCTTGACTTTGCATGTGGTGTGTGATTCAGGAAGCTCATGGCACGTGCCAGGCAGAGCCAGGTCGGAACACGAGTCCTGCCTGCAGGACCATGCTCTCCTGCCTTGTCGTACCGCACCTCCAGGGATCTCTTCCAGCTCTTTTCTGTCTTTGTCTGGCAGCCCGTCTACACTCAGGATTGCCCCCTGGCGGCGGCAAAAGCCATCCAGGGCCTACGGGCTGTGTTTGATGAGACCTATCCTGACCCTGTACGAGTCGTCTCCATTGGAGTCCCGGTGTCTGAGCTGCTGGATGACCCCTCTGGGCCTGCCGGCTCCCTGACTTCTGTTGAGTTTTGTGGGGGAACGTGAGTACCATGGAGGGGCAGAATAGAGGGGTCATCTGCCATCACCTTCTGAGAATGTAGGTCTTAGGCTAGATCAACTCTCATCTTTCTAAGGTTGCAGTGAAGTCCTCAGAAATGCAATTGCTAAATAGTGTTCCCAAGAATCTCAGCCTTCTATTGTGCTCATTAGACCTCCCGTATCTGATGTTAACATCTGCTCATGAAACATTCCCAGGAGGATAAGGTGGAAAACATTGTATTCACACTTACCATGCAGTTGCTTGCTGCTATTTGCTGGGCTGAAACTAACAAGAAGGCTAGTGTGAATTTGGGATTCAGCAAGGCCTGGAGTGCTCGTTGAGCTCCTGATGTGGTCCTAGCCCTTTCCGTTCCTGGTATCTCACCCAATTTCCTTTGACAGCTTGGGCGGCATCTAGGGAATGTAGCTCTATTGTCTCAGAGCCCCTGAGCAGGCTACATGCTTGACCCAGCTCAGTTCGGCATGGGATAGCCACTTCTGCCAATTTGGATTCCTCTGTAGCTCTCTGGGCCTTTCTGGGAAGGTCATGGTGGCCTGGAAAGTTCCTGCTTCCAAATGAAGCCTTTTTTTTTTTTTTGATTGAGATGGAGTCTTGCTCTGTCACCCAGGCTGGAGTGCAGTGGCCGGATCTCAGCTCACTGCAAGCTCCGCCTCCCGGGTTTACGTCATTCTCCTGCCTCAGCCTCCCTAGTAGTTGGGACTACAGGCACCCGCCACCTTGCCCGGCTCGTTTTTTGTATTTTTTTTAGTAGAGACGGGGTTTCACTGTGTTTGCCAGGATGGTCTCGATCTCCTGACCTCGTGATCCTCCCGTCTCGGCCTCCCAAAGTGCTGGGATTACAGGCTTGAACCGCTGCGCCCGGCCCCAAATGAAGCCTTATCAAAAGAATTTTTTTTTTTTTTGAGATGATGGAGTCTTGCTGTGTCCCACAGGGTAGAGTGCAGTGGCACAGTCTCAGCTCACTGCCAAACGATTTTCATGCCTCAGCCTCCCAAGTAGCTGGGACTACAGGCATGCGCCCCCATGCCCAGCCAGGAAGAGAACATTCTTTTTTATTGAGACAGAGTTTTGCTCTTGTTGCCCAGGCTGGAGTGCAATGGCTCCATCTTGGCTCACTGCAACCTCCGCCTGCAGGGTTCAGGTGAGTCTTCTCACCTGAGAAGCCTCCCGAGTAGCTGGGATTACAGGCACCTGCCACTACGCCCAGCAAATTTTAAGACAGAGCCTCGCTCTGTTGCCAGGCTGGAGTGCACATGGCTTGATCACGATTCACTGCAAACTCTGCCTCCCTGGTTCACGGCATTCTCCTGCTTTAGCCTCCCAAGTAGCTGGGACTACAGGTGCGTGCCACCTTGCTCGGCTAATTTTTTGTATTTTTAGTAGAGATAGGGTTTCACTATGTTAGCCAGGATGGTCTCGATCTCCTGACCTCATGATCCACACACCTCGGCCTCCAAAAGTGCTGGGATTACAGGTGTGAGCCACTGTGCCTGGCCTAATTTTGTATTTTTAGTAGAGACAGGGTTTCCCCACGAGTTCAGGCTGGTCATGAACTCCTGATCTCAGGTGACCCACTCACCTCAGCCTCCCACAGTGCTGAGATTACAGGTGTGAGCCACCACGCCTGGCCAAAAAGAACATTCTTAGTGTCATGGTTGAGACGGTCCAAGGTCCCCTGCAGGCCTCTGGCAGGCAGGGAGCAAGTGGGATGTGCAGAGTAGGGTAGGGGTCTGGGGGATTGAGTTACAGGCTTTTCTGCCCAGCTGAATTGGGCAGGAAACAGCTTTCAAAAACTTTATACAAGGGCTGGGTGTGGTGCCTCATGCCCAGCACTTAGGGAGGCTGAGGCAGGTGGATCACTTGAGGTCAGGAGTTCAAGACCAGCCTGTGCAACATGGTGAAAACCTGTCTCTACTAAAAATACAAAAATTAACTAGGAGTGGTGGCAGGTGCTTGTTTCCCAGCTACTTGGGAGGCTGAGGCAGGAGAATCACTTGAACCCAGGAGGTGGAGGTTGTGGTGAGCCACGACTGCACCATTGCACTGCAGCCTGGGCAACAGAACAGGACTCTGTCTCAAAAAAAAAAAAAACCTTTATACCACTGTCAAAGAATGAGGATGAATTAATGAGCATTTGAGGTTCTCTGAACAACTGAAATAAAGCCTATTTGTTCAAGGGGTTGTGGTAAGATTTTAACAGCAGTCCTCAAATTGTCCCCTAATGAACAGGAATACAAAAATAGACCACAGAATCAAAACTGTGACGTAGAGCCTAATGGTAAGACTGTATTGGATATTAGGGACCACAAAGCACTTTCCTGTTTGCCTCATTTGATTTTCATAGCAGCTACGTGTGGAGCATCATTCCCATCTGAGAGCTGCGAACACTCAGGCTTGGTGAGCTGGTGTCTCACTTGGTGTCAGAACACTCCCAAGCCCAGGCTTTCCCTGACTTTCAACCCATTCCTGCTTCTCTTGTCCGCTAGTGGGACCCCCAGCCTAAGGGCTGCCAAGGACCTCTTTCACCACGACCTTTGTTTTCTGCTATTCAGGCACCTGCGGAACTCAAGTCACGCAGGAGCTTTTGTGATCGTGACGGAAGAAGCCATCGCCAAGGGTATCCGGAGGATCGTGGCTGTCACGGGTGCGGAAGCCCAGAAGGTGAGCAGGTCAGGCTGGTTTGTGGCTTATCTGAAGAGGGCAAGAGGAGCCCAGTCTGCGAATCCATAGAGCAAACAGTGCTCCGCGCAGCTGCTGCAGTCAGAGTGAAAGTGGAGACTGGGCCACTCCCCCTGCCCCAGTGTCCTACCCCTCCTTGGCAGAAGAAACCTGCCACCACACAAGATTTCCTAGCTTTCCTGGGTTTAGTCTTAAAATATATGTAAATCTGGCTATCTACCCCCTCTTATCTCCATGTGGAGGAGGGTGTAAGACATAGATTCGCTGTGGCTTCAGGGCCCCCGGCACTGATCCATGTACCCCTAGGGGCGTGCTTAGCTTGAGGCTGTGCAGTAGAGGATGGGTGCTCTGTCATGGGACCTGGTGTGTCTGACTTGTGCTAAAGCCCCAGGGTTAGCCACTTCCTAGGTGATGGGGTTCCTGATTCTCGAGCTTGATTATGCCCAAGTCTGAGTTGGGTACAGCTGTTGCCAGTGGGCCTGTCAGCACTGTGCTCCTTGCTGGGGCCTAGTGCTGCCAGTACCTGCTTCCCACAGACACTTTGGGGGTATGTTGCTACACGGCCTACCACTGGGGCTTCTGCGGCCGCTCAGACCCAGGATAGTGAGGCTGCCTCAGGCTTCTTGCCTGGGGTTGACCCGGTGTCTCCTCCCAGGCCCTCAGGAAAGCAGAGAGCTTGAAGAAATCTCTCTCTGTCATGGAAGCCAAAGTGAAGGCCCAGACTGCTCCAAACAAGGATGTGCAGAGGGAGATCGCTGACCTTGGAGAGGTAGGGGTGGCTTCCCTCCCTCCTCAGGGCCTGACACATGAGACATGCCCTGGCTTCAGTAAATCTGTAGTCAGTCAGGCCCTGGTTCTTGGTGGAATGGGCCTTTGAGCTGACTTCTGTGGGCCTGCAGCCTTGTAGCAGGGACCTCATGGATCCTGGCCTTGAACCCTGGAGGTTCCCTGCTGCCCCCATTGCTAGCAGGAGAGCTCTTCCCAAGCATGTGTGGGCACTGGGGTGGAGGGATTTGGAGAAGGGGATAAGGCTGCCCCCTGCTTCCAAGCCTGCCTGGCATTTATTTGCATTTCAAGCTGCCAGGAAGCTCATCACAGGCTGTTCCCAGCCTGGTAAGGACTGGGCCTGACTTGGAGCCCAGCTTTCTACTGTTCCTCTCTCTAGCCCTGCTTGTTTTACCTGCCGCAGCTGCTCCAGAAGGGACTGGTCTCAAAGCCAAAAGACAGCTTTGTGTTTTTGCTTTCCTTTCCAGGACACTAGTCAGGGAGGACTTGGGTTCAGGTGGGGGGGGCTGGACCCTCACATCCCAGCAAGTTGTGGCCCAGATTCAGATGGTCTTCTGGTTCTGGTTCCAGGCCCTGGCCACTGCAGTCATCCCCCAGTGGCAGAAGGACGAATTGCGGGAGACTCTCAAATCCTTAAAGAAGGTCATGGATGACCTAGACCGAGCCAGCAAAGCCGATGTCCAGAAACGAGTGAGTCCTGGCAGCACCGGTGGCCAGAGTGTTTCCTAGGCAAAGGCCGGCAGGATACAACCAGGGGTTCGCGGCTTGTGCTTTTGGTCTGAGCTGCTCTTCTGGACTTTTTTCTTGCAGGTGTTAGAGAAGACAAAGCAGCTCATCGACAGCAACCCCAACCAGCCCCTCGTCATCCTGGAGATGGAGAGCGGTGCCTCAGCAAAGGCAACCCAGGGGCCGGGGCCCCCTCCCCTGGGGCTCATCAGCCCTTTGGTGGCTGATATGTGACCTCTGTGGCTCTGAGCCAAGTGGTTGCCTAAGGGCCCACTGTCTGGGATGAAGGTTGAGAGGAGCAGCAGCTCCCTGCATGTGGGAGGCACACCTGGGCCAGGGTGTGGGCAGGGCCCAGCACTGGGGTCCTCCACCCAGGCCCTGAGGACTACATCTGCTCTGGGAAGGGGGCGGGGTGGGTGGCAGTCCTGAGGGCTGCAAATGCTCACACTAGTGAGGGTCCCTGCTCCAGCACCATGGTCTGAGCCAGGTCCTCCCCACAGGCCCTGAATGAAGCCTTGAAGCTCTTCAAGACACACTCCCCTCAGACGTCTGCCATGCTCTTCACGGTAGACAACGAGGCTGGCAAGATCACGTGCCTGTGTCAAGTCCCCCAGGTCAGAACCACCTTGTACCAGTGGGAAGTGTTGGGTCTTAAACTTGTTTGCTGAGGCCTGTGTGTGTACAACCTGCATTTCAAAGAGCCCGTCTCCTGCCTGCCTGTTGGTCACCTTTGCCAGTACCCCTTACCCAAGCCGCCTCATTGGTTGCATCTGTCTGGTTGATACTTGGCTTTGCCACTCTGTCCTGTCCTGGCAGTGGCCATGACTGCCCCCTGCACTAGCCGTAAAGTCTGTCTCAGCCTCCAGCAGTATCACCCAGGGCAAGAAGTGGGTGATGGCTCCTCCATCCTTTCTTTCCCTTCGTTCCTCCCTCAATCTCATTTTCTGTCCTGACTTCCCCCTTCCCTTCCTTTCTTCTAGAATGCAGCCAATCGGGGCTTAAAAGCCAGCGAGTGGGTGCAGCAGGTGTCAGGCCTGATGGATGGTAAAGGTGGTGGCAAGGATGTGTCTGCACAGGCCACAGGCAAAAACATTGGCTGCCTGCAGGAGGCGCTGCAGCTGGCCACTTCCTTCGCCCAGCTGCGCCTCGGGGATGTAAAGAACTGAGCGGGGGAAAGAGGTGGCTCCCACTGGCTCCATCCGTCCAGCCGGGCGCTCTTCATCTGCTACAAGAACATTTGAATCCTGGGACCTTTTGAGAGCCCCTCCTACCCCGGCAGTACCTGGAACACCCTCACGAGCAGTCCTGTGACTCAGCGCCCCTTATACTTCTGCCCTGAGCCCTCCACGTCAGTGCCATCTGTCGAGAACCACTACCCCCGCATTGCTGTTGATCACCACACTCGCATCTGTAGATAACAGCTCTCCAGCCTGAGCTTTCCGTGTCAGCAAGGACGAATCGTTTTTTGCTGCAGAGAATAAAAGGACCACGTGCAATACTTAATGCCGTATGATCTCTATCCCTCTTCCCAGGTGGGGCTCGCTGTTTTGACAGCCCTTGGCCCCTGGTGTCTGTAGAATAAATGCTGTGGCTTCTACTGGCTGCTGTGGTGTTCACCTAGTCCAGCCCTAGAACCCTAAATTTTGGGAAAAGCCCCTGGGGTTGCCTCAAACGTTTGTGGAGGTGGAGGCCAAATAGGTAGGGTGACATGGAGCAAGGCGTTCATAATTCAGTAGATGGGTGGGGTTAGTGGAAGCAAAGAAGCCTTGGAGCTGCTCTCCCACTTCCTTCCAGCAGGATGGATGGATCAGGCAGCCCTGCACAAGTGGGACCAGGGCGCCAGGGACGCCGGCCGTTCTCCCTCCGAGCCTCCAGCGGGCGCTGTAGCGCCGCCCGTCAGTCTCCCGACAGCCCTCACGCAGGCGCGCGTCTTTAAGCAACGGAAGAAC